ACCCAGGTGCAGGACCCTGCACTTGGCCTTGTTAAACCTCATGAGGTTCACACAGGCCCACTTCTCGAGCTTGTCCAGGTCCCTCTGGATGGCATCCCGTCCCTCAGGCACGTCAACCGCACCATTCAGCTTGGTGTCATCTGCAAACTTGCTGAAGGTGCCCTCAATCCCACCCACATTACTCACGATGTGAGATCATCCACCTCATGGCTATTTCTGAAGCAGCTTGATTCTAGCAGTAAAGCCACATTTGCCCAGTTCCTGTATCTACACCACACTCTATCAATGAGGAGTTACAGTTGTGATCAAGCATATTTGCTCAAACTCAGTGCTGGCCCTGCCAGATCTGGTGAGAGCAGCCCCAGGGTTGGGAAAGGATGAGGAAGAACAGTGTCTCTGCACTATGCATTGGGAAGGCTGATTATCTTGGGTACAAGGCAGTCTAAACGCATATAAAATTTGGATGCTGTTATTCAGCCTGTGTTAGTCATGCAAGCTGGGAAGTGTTGTGTAAGGCATAAGCAAGCGGTGAGTCTCTGCGGCATCGACTCTCTGTTCTTCAGTCTGCCTGCACCATGGTTCCAAATGTGTCCGTATTGCCTAGGTAAAATTTCCCATTACCCAGTGAAACCTAGCTCTCCGCTGCTGTGGTTAATGGAGAGTGAGGAAGGTACACATTTTTACCAGAATTTGCCACGCTTCCATGAAGACTAGATAGTTTTCTGAAGTACATGTTACAACACAAACAGAAATAACAGGCTGATGTAGAAATGATGAAGCGGAGACAGTCATAATGTATACGCGGGTGTGTGTACCGCATCTCCAAGGACAGTTTCAAAGTTAGTACATGGCTAGGAAATGCTACTATTAACACTGCCCCTGCAGACTTAATTGGATTCCTTGCATAGATGCATTATAACACTACTTTTAATTACAGGATCACATTCTACTTTTTGCACAGAGTCCATTCCAAGCTCCTGACACACAGAGTCAGAACAACTTTTGACTTTAATCTCTCTAGCACAGCTACTGGCTCCTTGTCTGTAATTGCTATTTTTGGAGAAGGGACAAAACCAAATACTCTTACATATTTTGAATGAGATTTGCGTATCTGCTTGCTTTCTTGCAATCCCTTTCAAGGGCATATGGGCCCAAGGCATTGGAATCTAATTTACAAATCCATACTGTAGTCCTTCACCAACTGCGCCTGATACATCGGCTCCCAGAACAGCTGTGATGCTGCTACCGAAAGCACAGATTAGCTAGCAGGCGCCAGCACTGAGAGAAGCACTGAACACTGTACTTTTCTGTAGCAGTTGAGTGCTGTGGTCCTTACCCATCACATAGTTCAGAGAAAACAGCATGGGATTCCCCGTGAAGACACGTATGATGGCCCCACGCCTGGGGAGAGAGTGACGCCTGAAGCCGTACTGCTTCACACCAGTGCTGACAGAGTGGCATGGGAGGAAAACAAATGTGACATGAGAGTCAGGACCTACATGTGCAGGTTGTTTGTAATTTTATAACTTTGCTTTTGGTATTTCTCTTCATTCTCAGCTTAATAAGACATAATGGACTAAGAGCCATTCTGCACCAGAACGTTGCTTTTGCTTTTTTCTACTTTCTCCTTTCAGACAAGGATGTCAATGTTATTTACAGAAGTTATTGAACTACTTTCTGCAGATCGTATTTGCCTTTATTTGCCCTTAATAATTTGTGTTAACAAATTCTTTTGACCTTCTTGCTCTCTTTTTTTTGTCTTTTTTGTTAGGTTTCCAAATGGCTGATCCTTTTCTGTATCATACTGGAGAAAGATCTCAATATGGGTGCCTTGGACATGAAGTACAAATTGAGCACATCAAGGCATATGTTTGTACACCATCTTTTTTCACAGACAAAGCTGTGATTGTGGTTCATGATATATTTGGATGGCTGTTCCCAGACATTAGATACATAGTCGATTTGATTGCAGGTCATGGATACATGTAAGCAACTGTCTGTCTTATCTTCCTCTTAAATGCACTGATAGATCACCAGGCCCAAAGCTAAGCATGGCATATGATGTTTCCCATGCACATAGGGCAACCATACCATTTCCGTCTGAGCAAATAAAAATGCAAAGGGACAAAACGTTCCCATGAGGCCACCGAAGGTACTACAATTGACCCATCAAAAGTGGCTACCCGAGCACGAAGCCACAAGGAGAGTCATGAAGTGCCAGTGTTTGTGCTTATGTGGCAGCGTGGGTGATTAAAAGATAAACGTTGGTAGCTATCTTGAAGTTGTATAAGCTTTTCAGAACCAAACCTTCTGAACAGCTTCTTTAGCTTTTACTAGCAAAGAGATATACATGTGTTTATACAGAATCAGGAGGGTTGCTTAATCCCTTTACTTTTGCATTAAGTATGTCTAAGGAAATAATGAGAGTTTATTTGTGGTTTTTTTTTCCATAGAAAGACATATACTTTTAGCTCTGCTGATTGCCAGAACAGGATGAGTAGAATATGATTCAGATAGTAACCATGTAGATATGTACTCTGGAGTAGAAAAGACATTAGGAGACATTTAGACATCCACAGATTTGCCCCACCTGGACGTGAAAATTGACTTGATTCCATGTCTCTCACAGAACCATCTGCCCAGACTTCTTCAAGGGGACAGACCCCTGGAAAACTACTGATCACTGGGCTGACTTTGCTGACTGGATGAAACATCATGATCCTATGAAAGTAGACAAGTAAGATACATATTTGTACTTGAACTTTAAAGGGTATCCAGCAAACAAGGGGAATTTGTATGAAAAGTTAAAAGTGGCACCTCACAAGAGGGCAAGCTGGCTGCATGCACACAGTTGCTTATTCTGGGTGGTTCTTCTGTGGTTCTGGGCACTGTCTTGGCTGGGATTTGGAAAGGATCATCTGCTCCATCCACCACTCTGCTTATTGTCCCCATCTTGTTTTCCTGGGCCCTTTTCTAACTATGTTATACTGGCCACACAGGCTCATAGCCAGTCTTTCACAGGCTATGAAATATCCAGCACTCTCACCCACAAATGCTGATTCTGCCTCTGGTTCCTCAAGATAAGGAGGAAAACTCTTTCACAGCTGCTCATGTTATCTGCCAGTTGTCACTTGCCCATCTTGCTTTCTGCCTTGTAGATAATGATAGGTGCAGATGATATTCTCCTGAGCAGCACTAGATCAAAATTTGCAAGACTGCTCAAAACCCAAGATACATCTGATCAACTATACTGTTTTTCTCAATGTGAAATAGAGGGCCCACTATCTGTAGAGCCTAGCAGTGCCTGTAACAAGGCTTCCCTGAATTATGGGAGGCATTACTGTTTCTTCAACAGCTATCCCCACAGCCTAAAACTTCAGAAGATGATAGTGAGGCAGTGACACCCGATTACTCAGCTATCATCTTGTAAGCCACAAGTATTCTTCTGACCCTTTCAAGAGGTCCCAGCGGTCACAGCCTAGCTTCAACATCTCTCAGCAAAGCTTTTGACCATATAGTTGCAGAAGCTGTGACCGAATTTTTTGAAAAGACAAATGACTAACACCTGTAAAAAATCCTACTCCAAAGAGTGAGCAGATATGTGGGCACTGTCTTAAACAATTAAGACCTCAAGGACGTGCCTGTGCTGTCTTTTGAGGGTTCACTGGTAGCTGCCCTCAAGGTCGGATCCATTGCTCTTTCAGAGCACAAGGAATCAAACATACCCATGACTGACTGAGTACCCTTCCAAACAAACCAAATCTGAGAGAGCCCATCCATTCACAGCGCACTTGCCCGCTACAGGCCTAGGACACGATCTCCTCCTCATGTCACTCTCATACTGGTTTTTTTTTTGTCAGCTTAACCAAACCTGTGATGACCACACTAACATACCTAATATTTGAAAATATAGTTATTAGTCTATGCAGTCTGCATTTAAAATTCATTTAAAACTCTGTAGATAATGAAAGAGATAAAACTATTGAGACCTAAGAAGTTAGCAATTAAAAAAAAAAATTACCTGCTCTAGCCTACATTAAAAACAATTTTCATATTTTTTGCATTATACCTCATGCAATACCTGGTTTTTTAAACATTATAGTTACTGACAATTTAATTTTGAGTAATTGCTACGTTAGTATAGTATTATTGCATGTGGGCTTGGTAGGATATTTTAATATTAACTCATGCAACAGGAATGACATACTCAAGATAAATCTTTATCTAAATAGGTGGACTCTGTAGAGATAGCACAGTGAAGCTTATCTATTCCTACAATCCGTAATGCAAGATGTTGTTCTACTTGCAGATATGTCTTGTCTTTAGTTGTCCTGTCCTAGACAAAGTGATTCAATTAAAAATTTGCTTATTTTGAAAACAAAGGAGCAGGTCACAATTCAGGTAAGTATTTAAGTACCTACACCTGTACTTCCCTAAACTAGGACCAGCGATGTTAACTCCCATTTAAGAATAGAAGCCACTGTTCTGGGCTGAAATGTGTTTTTTAAGCATTCTCTCTTTTAAATGATTGGGGGTGCAGATGCAGAAAAATTCATGTATCTCTCTTAATTTACTTCTTAAATTGTCAAGTATTGATTCTGCAATAGATTCCTTAGTTTACTTTTGTTTATATGTCTTAGGGAAGCTGATGTTGTCTTGAAGTATCTAAAGGAACAGTGCGGTGCAAAGAAGATTGGTATCGTTGGGTTTTCCTGGGGTGGAATGGCAGTACATCACTTGATGCTGAAAAATCCTCAATTAACCGCTGGGGTGTCCCTCTATGGTAGTGTAGAACACATGGAAACTTATATGGGCTCACATGACTATGCGTAGTTTGTAAATCTAGTAACTGCTTTGTAACAATTTCTGTAAATCCTCAATTCAAAGGTGAGTTGCAGATTTTAATTATGATTATTTCAGCAATACGCTATATTGGTATCAAAATTTAAGAATGGTGGAAACCAGAAAAAAATTGTTTCCTTTTGCACAGGAATTTTCTAATCTTTTTTTTAGTGCTTGGAGAGTGGGGAAATATATTTCCCAAGTGCTTTTTTCTCCATTGGAATAAAACTGTCCTTGCTTTTTTCTCCATTGGAATAGAAACTGTCCTCATCTAAAAAAAGTATTTAATAAGTAACCCTAAATAGAAATTTTGTCTTTTAATTTGTCATTTATCTTGCAAGACTGTTAACCTCACTAACAGACTGTTTCTCAAATACATTATAGGAATAATTAGGGACTCCGAAGAAAGATACAATTTACTAAATCCCACATTTTTCATTTTTGGTGAGAAAGACCACACTATTTCTTATGATCAGGTAAGTTGTTCTACTGGAAACGATTTTCCTTTACCCATAGTTCTTTTATCCTACACAGAAATCCTAGCTTGTTAGAAACCATTTTCAGATACAAAAAGTCAGGCAGGCTGGATTGTTTTGCTTATATTTCAACTTCCCCCATACCTTGCTTAGGTTATTCAACACTTCTTTTTTGAGGTGAGAAATGCAGTAAAGACCAGTCATCGGTCTCTGAGTGGCTGGACAAGCAGAGTGCGAAACTGGGCAGGGAGAATCAACTGGTAGGAGCCAAACATCTCAAAAACTTGGATACTACTGCTATGGTTGAGACAACAGGTGGTTAAACCACTGAATTTGGACTTTGAATGGAAAAAAATAATTTCAGCCTAGGAACTGAACTTTCTGATGATGTGGACCAATGACTAACTGCTTTTGGTACAAGAAGACAAAATGAACTGTGTCAGGAGAGCAGGCGTGGATTTTAAGGAAGACGATGACAACGTGTGGACTCTGTTTTGACTCCTGGCTGCCATCTGTGTTCTGATATAACCCCTATTGTAAGCGTATCTGAGAGGCTGGATAAATATATGGGTAGGAAACTAGTGCCCTCTTCTGTGCATAAATTCTTTCTTTTCAGTGAGAAGGATAACATACCACCTCTAGCATAGGTTGTTGTGCAGGAGTAGGGTCTAACTGGGGAACTGGCAGCGTGCTCTGGGAATGAAGAAGCCACTCAATATTCATTTCTAACTGAGTTATTCAGCATGTTGATCTGTACCTCAAATGTGTCTCTGCACAGGAAAAGAAATCCTTCACTCCCTGTCTCCTTTTTATGGTGAAAGTATCTTTTTCCCAGGGGCACAATTTTCATAAATACATTTTTCCCATCATGCATTACACGTTGAAACCATACCTTTTTCTCTTGAAGCTTTCTCTCTGAGCTACCTGTGCAGATTGTGTAAGAAAAATTCTTGCACTAAAAAAAAATAAAAATCCTCAAATACATTGTTTTCTGCACTGAACAATAAAGGGCTCTGTGGAAAAAAAAATGTGAACATGAAATAAATTACAGTACTGTCTCTAATCTGCACAATGGGTAGAATTAAGCTTGCAGGGGCAAAATAAGTGTTCATTCTCCTATTTTCTGACTTTTAAATGGAAATGAGCACAAAAATGTGTCTACACGTATACAGGTACATAATCATATGATTAGTACTCTGTGTGTAAGCATGTGTGTACTTACCATCAAAAGATTGTGCAGGAGCAGTGTCTTTTTGTTATACAGTAAACTAAAAAAACCCGCTGTGTTTTCTTAAACTCTGTTATTAAGCCGATCAAAATATTTTGGACTGAGAGTCACTGAGGTTTAGGGAATATGTTCTCTCAAGATCAGAGTTTAAAATTAGGTTACAAGCCCAAGTCTCCGAATAGAAATGCACCTGTTCCTTTATGGCAATGAGATTTACCAAACCATCTTTGCAGTAACTGTTGAGGTTCTTAGACTCACCCATACTTTTAAAAAATGTTTCAGTCTTATATTCCAAAGAGGGGTTTTCTCATCTGTTGAGCAACAGAACCTGCTTCAAGTGTGAGAGTTGAGAAAAAACAGAGATGTAGCGATAGGAGAAATGGCAAGTTTTTCAAACTTACCCCCCTCCCCCCCCCCAACATAATGGAAAAATGCTTTCTTTTACAGATCACCTTATTGGAGGAGAAGTTGCAACAGTACTGTAAAGTTGCATATGAAATTAAAGTTTATCCTGGACAAGTCCATGGGTTTGCACAATTGAAGCCAGAAGATATGAAACCTGATGATAAACCTTATATTGAAGAAGCTAGAAAGGATATGATTGATTGGATCAAAATGTTTATTTGACAAAAGCATAAAGTAACACCAGGCTTCAAGATCAGTGTTTGATTTAATTTGAGAGAAGAAAACAGCCAAGGGAAAACCATCTGGTTTTGAAAATTGTCACAAACAAAACTAGGAACATTTTAATTTATAGTTCTTAATTATTTTTTACAAGATTTACACAAGACTGTGAAATCAAAGTTGGACTAAAGGACGATTAGGCATTAAAAAGTTGCTTGAATTTATCTTGTTTTGTATTTGCTTCATTATTTTGCATTATGACATCAATAGTAGTGATATTGTTTATCCATTTGTCTATGCTAGTGAGTATGACTTTTATCCTGACTTTACCTGAGTAGTTTCAGGCTTTATTTTGCTATGATGATGGGTGGTCATAGGTGTTAACAGGGAAATACCCTGGTTTTGCATACAGACTTTTTTTTTTATTAACTACAAAGCATTTGTCTCAGATATACTGCCGTACTGAGCAGAATTTCCCACGCGTGAAACGAACATTTGGCTATGTTAAGGAGTTAGGAAGGAATGATGTTGTTAGGTGGCAACCTACAGGTATTCCCTTGGCAATGTTGCGAAGGGCACTTGTAGTATTCCTTCATCAACATCAAGGAGAAACACAACCAGTCCCTCTGGGCTGTGGAAGTAGCCCGGGCTTGAACACTGTGGAAACAGTGGGTTTATTGTCCTGGTCCAAACTGTGGTGATCAGGCACAGGGCTGACAAACAGGTACCCCCACTCAGTCCTGATTATATTGTTTGCTTTACATTATATCCCTTGTTCCTCACTCAAGTTCTTCCCCTTTATCACCCTTATCTCCTCCCAAGTACACAACGTACAAACAACAATAAACATCCCTCTTTACTCTTACCGCACTGGCTCGTTTTGCTGACCTGCTGACCTTTTTTTTTTTTTTGTATTTTTTTATTTCATTGCTTTGGTAATGACTTGGCAACTTGTGTTTACTCAGAGATCTTCTAAGGGACCCATGTCTCTCTTTATTTTCTACAACATCTGTCAGTTTCTCACACTGTTGCCTTGTTAATGTAGCCGTAGATCAAGGCTAGCGATCTGCATGGATATTACTTTCCCTTTGGTATCAGGAATGTTTGAGTTTCACACATTGCTATCCTGTCAGTGTAACTATACGGTCACAGTATGCCGGATGTCTGCATGTCATGCAGTCGACACGGGAAGGGCTACAGATGTCATCTATCTGGACCTCTGTAAGGCCTTTGACACGGTCCCCCACAACATCCTCCTCTCTAAACTGGAGAGGTATGGATTTGATGGGTGGACTGTCTGGTGGGTGAGGAATTGGTTAGATGGTCGCATCCAGAGGGTAGTGGTCAACGGCTCAATGTTCAGATGGAGATTGGTGA